ATGGTGGTGTATCCCAAATTAGTAAACCTTTGTTTTATGATGACTCAGTTCCTCTTTGCCAGTGACTGAAATGGAACTCTGGTTTTTTCAGTGTTTAATATTTTAAAATGAAGCAATTTCCTCTTTTCTAGGGGAATTCCATGAAGAATATATCTACACCCCTTCAGGTCAGTAAGAATTCGATTCTCCCATATTACACACAGTGAATGTGAAATAATAGTTTAATCTCTCAAATTTTTGAAGGATTAGATTTAATACTCCTGTTTCAATTAATTTTGCCCATGCCCTCCAGATCCAGACTGTGAAACTCCAACAGTATTTAGTTCAGCAGAGACTACAGCAAACTTGGTAAGCTTTAGTCACTGTTTGGATTAGGCTTCCTAGAAACACACAACATCCTTCAAAGAAATTAGCCTTGGAAGCAAGTTTAGTATAGATATTCTGGGTGACTTTTAGGTGGAAAGAATAGTTCAATTATATTTCACATTTCTCTCCCCTTCCCCTTTCAGCTAGATAGTAAATGATTGTCTTTGAAGGGGATCTTATTGAAATGTGACCTCATTACTGTATCAGTGTAAGTTTGGTGTTTAAATCAGTGCACAGTGCTTATCAAGTCTATACACATCCTGGTGGTGGCTTTTACAGTCTGAATTTTACTTGTCAGAGTTCTGTTCCATATCTGTCCTCACACTTTTTTGTGGAGAGAAGGGAGGTGGAAAATGATCTTTGTTCTTTATAAAGCCCTGATTCTTCCCCCTCTTTCTCCTAGTTGTTCTTATGTGCTATTCTTCATGTCCCACATCAGTGTACGCTACAGACAGGACTGGACCAGATCTTGCCTTAGAACTCAATCTGTTAATGGGCTTGAAGAGGTTACTGTTTAGTGAAACAAGGTGTTTTCGGTTCTCTTCCCCACACCCCTACAGCCTGCTGGTCCAGAGATCAGGTGATCAAGTGCAGGTATAGAAGCCTCCTCTGCACCTGGTAGTGTTGAGTATAGTTGTAAACTGGCCTATTTTCAGTTAATTTAGGGATGGTTTTAGGCAAACTGCAGGACCTTTTGAGTATATTTTAAAAAATTAAAGAGTAACAAAGACTTATGGGTTTCTATCACTCCACCTCACTCTTTTCCCCTACCCAAAATCTTGTAGCCTCGTGACTTCTGTACATTTCAAACACACAGTGTTTTACTTTGAAATCTCTTCAGGATGGAGGATCAGGTTCTGTCTCCCCTCAAGATGGAGTTGCTTCATATAACTATTCCCAGAAGGTAATCTGCATTATGTGATTTAATGGTCCATATGGCAGTGAAAAGTTGCAAAATTAACAAAGGAAATAAAAAATGAACCTTTCTTCTATAAAGAGGTGGTTCGTCTACTTGTATTTACAGGTCTGGGGCTAATTCCTACTTGCTTTTGTTATGTGAGTAATCTCATTGACTCTGATAGTCCTGCATGAGTTGGTGAGGAAGTAGGATTTGCTCTTAATTTGCATTAAACTTCAGTACATCGTTTTCCCCCAAATACTTGTGCCCTCACTGTTGCTGGAATACTTAAAAAAAAAAAATCACACAGTTCTGTAACTTTACACTTTGATTTAAATGCTGGAACTGAAGTGATATTGGTGATCACTTAATTGCTGCATGAATTGCTTCAGAATATATAATTTGTGACTACTCAAGTACAGTAATGAATGTATTGCACTTGTTTAATATTGTAAAGCCCTGTCATGGAGATGGCAGAAGTATTTTGCTTAGTATTTTATGATGTAAAACACCATATAGAATCATAGGAATACAAACATTTGTATAATAAAAACAAAAGGGAGAAAAGTTTACTGATAGTAGATGTTCACTATTCCATATTCTTTATAGTATTTTAGTCTGGAATTGGACCACTAACTCCTTAATGCTCCTCTGAATATTTCAGCTTAAACATATATGGAAAACTACCAGAGCAGATAGTATTTCAAAGCCACGTGTGTATTTTTTCGTCTAAGTTTGTAGTGTATTGAAAGCTCTCCTGGCTGTTTCTACAGGTGATGGTGAATTCTGCAGTGATCTCAACCTCCTCCTGTGTTAATACTGCTCCAGCAACTGTCTTTTCCTCCAGCACAGCAGCAGCCACTCAAGCCAGTGTTACCACATCTGTTCCTCCCCAGACTGCTGTGCAGCCCATCCTGGTATCCCCTACATCTGCTGGAAGGCCAGGTTCTACTCCTGTTCTTTTGCTTTCTCCTCACCCCTATTACCCAGAATACACACAGCTCTTTGAGGCATTTCCATAAAATGTGGTTCACCTCGCTGTGATTACTATCTTCACTGTGTTATGCTTATTAGAAGCACACAGGATATTCTAGGGGAGAAGCCAAACCTATTCATAAACTTTTGGCATACTGGTAACTTTATTTGCATATTTATTATGCAAATTAATATGCAAATAAAATGTTACCGGTCCACCAAAAGCCCCAGCCCCCAGAGCCAGTGCAAACAGCTGACTTCAGTTGCGACAGCCACACGCTACATGGCTGTAAGCAGTCAATGCCTCAGTAGCTGTACTTGCAATCAATCTCTGGGGGAAATTTCTCAGCCCACATGGGTTAGCAGCTCATTGGCCTAATATCTTGTATGGTGTCTTCATTGTCTCCAGCAGTGTTCAGATGTCACCCAGCTGATTTGTAGAGTGCCCACAGCTTGGTTTTGTGTTTCTAGTGGTGCTGCACATAAAACTTATTCCATACATGGATAGAAAAAATCTGCACATGTGTGGGAAAGATTAGAAGGAACATTAGTCTCCAGCTACCTAGCTCCATAAAAGAACTTAATTGCTTCTTGAATTTAGCTTGAATGAAGGCTTGATGACATACCCATCATCATTAACAAGGTCATTGATAACGGTATAAATCAACCACATGTTTGATGGCAGCCATCAGCAGTTTCCAACGTAACAATATCTGTCCAAATCTTTTATCATAATTCTGGATACTTTGATATCCACATAAATGTCTAATCCTTCTTTAAACCTGGCTAATTCTTCGTCTTTGTGACTATGCCACTGAGTTCCACAGCCGAAGAATACATGGAGTGACAAAATATTTCCTTTTCTATCACTTTTGAATTTGTCCCTCTTTCTCTGCTATGAGACAAGGGTAACAGAAGTTCCTTAGCATCTGCTCTAGACCATTATTTTATATAGAGCACTTTAATTGTATCCACTATAATCTGCTTTCTTAGAGAACAATCAGAACCATATGACGAGATTGATGAAAAGAGTTTACTCGTGTTCTCAAACTTCTGTATTATCTACTCTCATTTACCTTCCCTGGATTCTTACTTTTGCTCTATTTTCATTCCTTTTCTTCTCTTCCATACCAATCATCTTAATCTGGAGTTTTTGCATTATGATTAAGTTTCTTGATGTGATCACCATGTGCTTGCACATTGCACTGTGTGGATTAGCCACTTGGTGGTGTTACAAATAAATTTTTGTTTAAAGGAGCACAGACCACTTACAGTCTAGTCAATTTTAAAAAAGCTTATACAGTAGTTTCAGCTACTACCACTACCTTGAAAGTTGCAGCCATTTTTTGTAGGTTTCATAATCCTATTTCCCTAACTTCGGAAAATGTTGTTCTGTCCTGTGTTTCTGTAGATAAACTAACTATAGTAACTGGCTCCTGTCAGGGGGGAAAAGTGAAGTTAATGCTACACAAAGGCTCAGATCTTCAAAGGTATTTAGGCACCCAACTCATTAGGAATTAACGTATAACATCTCTAAAAGTCGGGCTAATTAGCTTTCAAATGCACAAAATAAACTGCAGAGATTTCTTTTGTTAATTTGTTGGAGTTGGTCATACCTATTCTCATAGTTGAGACAACACATTTCAGACCAAAGTGAATTAGCTACACAAACCATAAGACACAGTGAGAGTTAAAAAAAAAAAAAATCCCAGCGAGTTTTTAATTTGTCCAGAAGGAATGATAAATCCTTCGGACAGAAGCTCAGAACTATATGTTCAGAGAAGATGATGGTAGTTCATATCAGTTGCACTGGCTAGTAGCTCTCTTTTTAAAAACCATTTAAAATCTGACTGAGACTTAAAAAAATTTTTTTTTAACAGTGGTGATTCCATCTGTGCCGTACCCATATCATCCAGCTCCACCTCCCCCTGTCAGTGAGGTAGGAGATAGTGGCAATGGGCCTCCACCTTACTCCTGCGATCCTAGTGGCAGTGATTTACCTCGAGGTAAGAGGAGTGTATTCTCTAACACTGTGGTGACCAGATAGAAAATGTGAAAAATCAGGACGGGGAGAGGGGAATAGGCACCTATGTAAGAAAAAGCCCTGAATATCAGCACTGTACCTATAAAATTGGAACATCTGATCACCCTTATTGGCTAGTGTTTTCCTGATTTGTGTATATCCCACAACAAGCTTAACTGAGAATACTTGTAGTGAGGAAACATGGCTCTTCACAGTTGACACAAAGAAGGGAATTTTGAGATTGATTATGTAACTGGTGGGGTATGCTTTAATTTCACAGTTGGGGAAAAAGCTTGTACAGAGGCCTCAAACATGTTTATGGTAGATTCAGCAAAGTAACTTGTGGAGAAATAATGGGAAGCTCAGAGTTGTGTTTCTGTCATGAGTTGCTCTCTGTTGTGATGTGGTGATCTCTACCAGTAGTAAACATGAAGAGAATGATCTAGAACCTGGTACTAAAATTTTGACATCAGCCTTCCAGTTTTAGTCACTGATTGGTATCTTCTGGCTTCATCTCTTAAGTGGCAGTGTTTACATCAGCCTGCTGTGCCCTGTTGAGAGAATTTCTATTAACTATGAGAGATCACATTATACTAAGCAGTTTGGTAAATGACACACAAAATGCTCTTTTTGTAATTCGAGTTAGTACCTAATAAAGATCTCTCTCTATCTTTCTGCCCGCTCCATATCTCTTGAATTATGTACATCTGACTTTCTTTCAAGAGAGCTTTGCTTGCTAATCCAATGAACAGTCCACCCTCAATCTCTGGCATTGTCAAAATGCCACATAATACTGTTACCAAGGGTGTGAGTGCCAATGGCAAGCTATTCAGTACATATGGAAACCCTATGGATGCCCATTTGTGCTCTATTTAGTCCATTATGTACGTCTCTAGTTAGAGGCTAATAATGCTGATGACAAGCTGCAATGTAATGTGTCTTGTCAGATAATTCCTTTATCATCTGAGTAAGCTGCACTGTCTATATAAACTCCTCCCCTTTCTCTTACTTTTTTTTTTTAAACACAGTTCTCCGATAATGTCCTGATTTGTCTTGCTTTGGTCTGAACAGAGGGCTGACCTTCAGAGGAAAGGTCTAGAGTAGTGTCAGACTGCCTGTTCTTTTGATACAGATCAGCTGACTCCTGCACTATACAGAATATAGGCTTGAGCAGGCTAGAGCTCTGTGTAAAATGGGAGGAAGGGTGTGACTTGAATTGTATCTACAGCTATACATGCACTGACATTGTCATTTAGTCTCACCAGAGAGACTGTTATCTATGAAGAATAGTGGTAGAAATGTAGCCGTGTTAGTCTGGTGCAGCTGAAACAACAGGACTGTGTAGCACTTTAAAGACTCACAAGATGGTTTAATAGGTTATCTATGAAGTCTGAGAGCTGAAGGTGAACTGGCAGTAAACGTGGGAAGCAACTTCATTTTTTCACTTTTGAAAATGTAACTGATCCAGAGGCCACTGGGGAGGTGTCAGTGTTAGGCCAGTGGTTTTCAAACTTGTTTTCCTTGGGATCCAGTTGAAGAAAATTGTTGATGCCTGCAAGCCAATGTAATTATATTTTTTGACTAGAGTGCGGGCTCTGGGGTGAGGCAAAGGATGAGGGGTTTGGGTTGCATGAGGGAGCTCCAGATTTGGGGGCCTTTGGGCTATGGCAGGAGACTGGGCTGCAGGGTTGGGGGGCTGGCTTATCTCTAGTGAGCAGTGCAGCAGGGGTGTTAATGCAGGGTTCCTACCTATCCTGGCACCGCGGACCGTGCTGCACCCTAGCAGAAGGTCAAGCTTTTGGGTGGAGGTGTGCAGGCATCTCAGTGTGCTGCTCTTGCCTGCAGGTAGCTGGCCCCACTCAGGCTCCTTTTGGCCAATTCCCAGAAAATGGGACTTCAGAGCCGATGCTCAGGGCAGGAGCAGTGCACAGAGCCCCATGGCTCCCCAACTTAGGAGCCAGACCTGTTGCTGGCTGCTTTTAAGGCACAGCATGATCCACGGTACCAGAACAATCAGGTAGCCTGCCATAGCACCACTACTGGTCACCCTATCGCAGGAGTGGGCAAGAGTCTGCCAGCAGCCCAGATCACTGTGTCCTTTTGTAGCACCTTTGACTAGGATGGTATTTTGCAGAATCAAAACCATGTTTGTTGTGTCCTTTAATTCCCATTGAAGAGAAAAGATATGAAGGGTGTTCAGTGCCTTGCAGAATCATGGGTTAAGTATTTAGAGGAGAATCTGGAGCAGATAAGAGCAGCAAACCTTTTTCCATAGAGGGCAAGTAGTTCTGCATTTCTCTCGCTGTTAAACCACTCCACAGAATTCTTTGAGCCCTCTTCAGGGAAAGGCTCTGGATTTTTTTTTTCCTAATATAGATGGATTTTAGGGGAGAGGACTAAGCAATAAGTCTTAGTGTTAATAGTCTATGAGCATGTTGCCTTTCTTCGTAATGGTTGTTGAGCTTCATTAAAGCCTCCATAGGGGTGATATAAATATTGGTGCATCAGTGCCTCTAGTCAAGCTTGTGTCACTGCTTCTGTTTATAGGTCAAGCTTTCAAAGTCCTCTAGAGTGGATGCGCTTAGCTGGATTCACTTGAATCTAGAATGCCTCTGGAGAGTGCAGGGCAGCACAGGGGACCCAAATTCGGTCCAGAGCCAGAGGTACAAAACATGCCTTCCCAAAATAGCTTTTTTTTTTAAGTTTCTACATGGTTTTTACTAGATTTTTTTTGCACAGAGCTAAAGATCAAACTAGTGATGTGATGCAAGTCAAAATGTTCTCAGTCTTTTAAGTTTCAAATGGTATAGTGCATGACAGCAGTGTTCCCTGAATAAGCTGCTTGGGAGAGATTCAAATGCTGCCTAACTGATTAGCTGACTTTTTTACTGGTGGTGCACATAAAGAAATATTCTGTGCATGAATGGAAAAGATTACAGAGAACACTGCATGACATCCACTAAATCTTTGGATGACCCAAGCTGACAGCAGTATTTAAGAAAACACCTATTTTTTTTACACTCTGCATGAACCATTCGAGAAAAACGACTAGAGGGTTTCTATTCTCATTTTATGCGTTTTAAATCTGGACTCTCTTCTAAATACCCTAACGTTTGAATGGTTGACTGGATCGCTTTGAAATGCGGTATGCTTCATGGGAGCAGCAGCAGTGATCCAAATTTAAAATCATTTAACCTAGCTGTTCCCAAAGAGAAGTTCTTCCCACCCAAAAAACTGATTCATTCTGCCTTGTCTTTTTAAACTGAGTGGTAGGAATGACAGACTGAAACAGACCTGATATCTGTTGAATGCACCTTTCAGTTAACTAAGGAAAAACTAATCACCAACTCCCACCAAAGACAAAGGGAGTTCGGAATAGAGTGACTGGAGGATGCTACCATTTGAGTTGTGTGTGGCAACTTCAGTCTAGGGAGATGAGGCTTTTGGGGAGTGGGGTTAGAATTTCACATGTGAATACTTCCTGTGAAGAGGGCTTGGAAGGAGTTTGGGGTGCAGAGAGGGGATTATGGGGAAGGACAATAAAAGGGAGATAGATGGTGGCAGAGGAGAGAGAGGTTGGGGCCTCAGGTGAGTGAGGTTTAGAGGTGGGAACGGAGATTGGGTGAGCAGCAGGGGACTAAGGAAGAGTGTGGTAGGGATACTTGTCCTCGTGCCTTGTCTGTACCTATAGATGCAAGTGGCCTTTTCCCATCTGTGGAATCTGAACCCTCCTTTCATATAAACTAGGATCTTGGGGGACTTGCCCTTTTGGGGGCATCTGAGACCTGCTTATTGATACCTGGCTTTATATGCAAATTGTGGGGCACGATACAGGCGCTATCTAAATGACTAACTCCTGCCTCTAACATGTTTTCTATTTTAAAAACTCAGAAATTTAGTAGCACAAAACTGTTAATGAAACAAATTAAGCAAAATTCATGTCTGAAAGCCAGGAAATGTGCAGTTAAGGTGGCTCATGCCACCTTAACTCTTCCCTCTTTCAGCAATGCCCCAATAAATCTCTCTCTCTCTGTCTCTCTCTCTCTCTTTTGCCAACCCTGCAGTTACTAAAATTTACAAGGTTCTCGCTTTTACAGTTCACTCAGTCTCATCCACAGGATTCCATCTAGCATTATTAAAGGTCCAAAAAAGGGACAAAACTGACTTTTTTTTTTTCCCACTAACTTTTGTTAAAGCTGACTGAACAGATGTGCATGTGATGAGAATTCACCTTGTTGTGGCTTGGTATCAGTGGCGGCCCGTCAATATAGGCGAACTAGGCGGTCGCCTAGGGCGCCAAGATAGATGGCCGTTGAGGACTTTGAAGGTGGGGGCGCCGATTGCACGCCAATCGCGTGTTTCGCCTAGGGTGCCAGTTGCCGGCAGCTTGTCTAGGGCCGCTCTTGCTTGGTATCCACTGACCGATGCAAGAGTCAGAGTGAAGTCTGTGTCCAGGACAGGCCAATGTGTTCTTCAGTGGCTATTTCATACTTCCAGAATCTGTTCTGGATTTTCCTCCTTTTGTCCCCAAGTTAATTTGGGAGGTTTGCATATTGAAATAGTCAGTGTTATTTTGTGAGTCCTGTGAGACAGTCTCTCCCTCCCAGCATTAGTATTCCAGATCTGAGCCTTTCAGAACCTGCACGAGTAAAATTCTTATCCAGAAAACTGTTTCTTGAGGTCTTATGGTGTTGGTAAATTCTTGGTGACTGTTGCTGATTTTATATATGAAGTTTACTAGCCTTACTGCATCTTTCTGGCAGGTGTCACATCATGGCTTTGTTTTACTGAAATTTACTCTGGTTTGCTCAAATTTAAAAAGAGCATTGTAAAACAACTGGGTCCCTCCTGCATTTGCTGCTCTTCCAGTGTTCGGACATCACTATTGGCAGTGTTAGCCTGTCATTTCATTCTTCTAGTGCCTTGTGTTCAATTATTTTCTCTATGTAATGGCTTCTCCGTTCGCCTCTTAGAACTGATGCTTATTTTGCATAGATTTGCATAATAATTGAAGAGTAACATTAGGTTTTGTGTAATTTACCCCAAATGTAAATGCGTCTGCTGCTAGATACTATAAAACCAGCCTGTATGTTGCTCTTTCAGCATGCTTTAATGCTTCAGTAGCATTATGACTAGCATTGTTGCAGCCAAAGCAGTGTTACTAGGCTGGCTCTCGCGGCATAACTCATTGCCTGCAGGGATGGGGGAAGAGTTCTTGCATACTGACTAACAGATAACTGGATGGATTATGGTCTGTTTTGAAATGGCACATAATGTGAGGTGACCATTGCAGAGTTGGAGGGACTAGCCACCTTTTTTAACAAAAACTAAATAGCCTCAAAAACCTATAAATACCAATAAAATAAAATTCCTGAAGTACAGAATTAAGTGGGGTTTTTAGCTCCATGATTCTGCCAAACAAATTTCCATTAATAGTTCTGAAAATGCAGGCGGTATACAACTTTTTAAAAGAATTTTTATAGAATTAGAATAGAAGTGATTGGCATTTTCTTAAAATAATCAGTAATGTGGGGACTGTCTGGAGATTACCTGTTTTAGTGAGTTGTGTGAAGTTTTGCCTCCCTTTCTTCTTGGCTCATTTTCCTGTATTGTGTGTGAAGCACAGAGAAATAGCCTCCTGATTGCTGCAAATCACAATAAACTAAGCACTATACAAGCTGGCATGCAGCGAAGAACACTGCATATCTGAGCTGGTAATACTCTGTTCACACAAAGCATCTGTCTATTTCAGATAAGTGCTACAGCTTTTTTTCTTCCCCTTATTGCTGTAGGGAATTTAGAAACTAAAGACCTTTCAGTTAACTTTAATGCAGATCCTAATCTGGAAATAAAATTTACCTGTTTCCCTAATCCTCTGAAATATACTCACTTTGAGACCAGCCAAAAATCTGATGTTTTGCAGTTGCTTCTTCCTTTTTCTAAAACTGCACTGCAGAATGAAAAACTGTGTATTCCTGCCAGAATTGTAAATTTGAATATTCTAGACCATTTCACATTTTGTGGTAGAAGAGGTATATTTGAGCTCATAATCCAGTTATTCTTGCTGAACAGTTTTAAAGGCCATCTTTGATTTTTGGGATTACCCTTGAGTACTATATAATTATCCAGGAATATATTCTCACCCCTTGTAAGGAAGCAAAGAGAGGTGCAGAAAACTGGATGCCTTCCATTTTTCCAGAGTAGGGGAGTTGGTGTTCGCATGCTAAGTGGCATGCTTTTTAAATTTTTTGTTGTTGTTGCATAGATCTAGACTAGAGGATCTGAGGGAATCCTAATTCCAATACAAATCTTGGTATTTTGTAGACTGCCTGCCCCACCATGCACCTTGCAAGTCCCTAGTTCTCTTAGCAATATGCATACCTTAGTGACCCTGAAAATCTTGGTGCCTCAGAGGTAACTGCACATCAGGACTTAATAAAGGGCAGAGATAGCCAAGTGCAAATCTTAATGCTGTTAGGGCCGACTCACATGCCATAATCCTATGTGTTTCTGTATGTGTAGAGTGGCTGCAGATGGCTTGTTTCTGGTTTATGATTGGGCAGCTTGCAAAGTACTCTTTTTCTCCTCTGTTTTTGCAGACTAGTGTTATGCAGTCTTCTTTTCATAGTGAAATTGGAGGGAGCACAGGTCTTTGGAGAGAGGTCTGTGGTGTTCTTCTTGGCAGAGGAGATGCTTATCAGCCCAATCAGCTTGGGGACACAGTATTTTAGTTACCTTTTCATTGTTTGCATCATAGATTGCAGGATTTAGTTCACTGTGCCACATTTTCTGAAGCAATTTTCCCATAGAAAATCACTGTTTAAATCTGAGTTCCCAAAATAGCTTGTCACTTCTAGAAACAGACCAAGATAATATATTGAAGTATAAATTAATCATTTGTTTTAAAGTTTATAATAATACCGAGGGATTATAGTCATTCTGTGAAAAGCCTCACCTGAGCAAACAATTTATAGCAATACGTGAATTTCAGTTTTGGCTTATTAATTCATGTATTGTCCAAATGTTTAATCTGTTTTTATTACATTTGTAGATTGTTTACACACATGTAATGACTTCAAAAATATCATGTTTGAAAGTAATTGAGTCAGATTCAGAATTCTCTAGTCTAAAAATACTTTTAGAAAATGTAATGACTGTTTCTGGATGTTTTTCCCCACTTGGTATTTAAGAGCATTCATATTTATGGTTACATTCTCTAATTACAGATACAAAGGTATTGCAGTATTATTTTAATTTGGGATTGCAGGTAAGTGCAATGACTAAACGGCCTCTATTATGTCACTAGTCTTGACAGATGCATTGATATGTTTTCATAGGCCTTTTAGTGTTCTGAATTTGCTTCCTGTCCTCTTGGTTGTTAATGCATGGAGGAGACTAAACTTACAGTGTAGGATGTTTGAGCTGTAAATTGTGAAACTCATGAAGAGCATTATTGCATGTTATTACAGTTTCAGTCTGGTGGCTTATGAAGGTGAGTAGGTAAAACACTGTTCTTCCCAATTATCTAGAAAGGATGGTTAAAGCACAGAGAAGCTTAACATCAAAAGGCACATGAATAGGCTCTTAAAGTCAGATGGAACCCAGGGGAATTTTCCCATTGTCTTGCCAAGGGCATCTGAGCGACTCGGCAGGAACTGAATTGGGGGTGTGGGGGTAAGATTTTGATCTCAACTGCAACAGTTAAGGCCATAGTAATTCCTCACTCGCAGCTGATGCTCAAACAGCCACGTGGTCTACTTGACTTTTTAGAGTTGTTGTTAATCCAGGGAGGAAACTTGAGCCTTATTTTCCAAGCATGGGTGGGGAAGGATTTCTAGTGCTCAGGGTTCCTATTGACTCTATGCCTTTATCACCCATCCTATGGTGATAGAGAGTCCTTGGCACCTATGAGGATGGGGACTTTACAGAATGAAATAAGACATTCTACATCCTAGAAATTGCTAGTACATATAGCGACTAAATTACTGGCAATATCTCTCTGTGTATTAGTATTTGGCACATCAGAAAAGGTGGCATGCAGGTCCTTACACATACTCAGAGTATGTAGCTGCATAGGACACCCACAAATTTTTGACACCATTGGGTCTTAATGTCCACCCACCTGCCTCTTCCTATGCCTGTTCTGTGATTAGACACTCTCTGAAGGAAGCAGAGTTAACTTAAAAGTGAAGAGGCTATCCAGAGCTATTAGTAGAACATTGAACCTGTGAAAAAGTTATTCAAGTGGTAATGAAGCCATTTAATAGGCAATCTTCCAACCCCAGGTATATACTGTCAGTATCTGAGTGTATACCGTGTTAGTCTACAGGACCTTAGTTTAAAATTTGCTTTAAAATATTTCATCAGTGTATTGCTAAAGATGATAAAAATCACATCTCTTAAAAAAAAAAAAAAATCATCATTCGCCTGCCCTGGGCTGCCATTGTGCATAGGAGCACCAGTTTAAAAGTACTGCTCAAGGCCCCATAAATTTGAAGGACGGCCCTAGTGGCATGAGATTCTAGTGCTCAGCAAGAGGTAACTCCTATACTAGCACTGCATCTGCTTTCTGATTCTGATGGAACAGGTAATACTGATATTCTGTGGACTGAGACCCATACAAGCCCCTTCTGTCATTGAAATTCCGATCCCCAAAATATATAGGGGTACAATTTTAATTTTTCAGCAGGGTAGCGCACAGTTGAGAAGTAGCTGACAGTGATTTGGGGAGTTGTTTTGATGACTTTCTGGCAGTCTGGAAGATATAATCTGTACAACATTGTTGACAGATTTCTGGAAATCTTAATGTTTAAGAGCTATTGAGTGTGGGGAGGGAAGTACACACACCAACTATAAAATTTCTCTCCTTACTTTGAATTTCCAAAGTATTACCATCAGAGCTGTTGGCATTCCATGGTGTACATGCAGCAGGTACCACCACCATCACCAGTAGAAGCTTACTCAGGATATACTGAGCCTGCCTCCATGGTAGATCCATCAGTACCTCAGTTTTATGCTGATGCTGGGAGAAGTGATGTCCGGCATGTTGCCCTGGAAACATCAGCAAACGGTTAGTATTCTAGGATGGCCATCTATGTAGGAATGTGAGCCATTAAATAGAAATGTGATAGAAATGTAGCCGTGTTAGTCTGGGGTAGCTGAAACAAAATACAGGACTATGTAGCACTTTAAAGACTAACAAGATGGTTTATTAGATGATGAGCTTTTGTGGGCCAGACCCACTTCCTCAGATCAAATAGTGGAAGAAAATAGTCACAACCATATATACCAAAGGATACAATTGAAAAAAAGTGAACACATATGAAAACGACAAATCACATTTCAGAACAGAAGGGGGATGCGGGCGGGGGGGAGGGGGGAACGAAGGTAAATGTCCGGTTGAAACAAAAAATACACTAACATAATTCAGGCAAAGGGCCCAGTTCTGCAAACTACATTAATCAACACTTGCTCATATGTATAAGTTATCCCATTAGCTTCAGAGTAAGAAAATGACAAAATAGCTCTGCTTCTGTTAAAACAGTCTAGCTACTTAATAAGCGCATGCTTAAGCCCCGTATTTTATCAGTATCTAAAGGAACATTATTTCAAGGAAGACAATTAGTTTTATCCAACTCTTCCATGTGGAGCCTGCTTCTGCAATTTTTCTTTACACAGAACTCCCATTAGCCTGAGCTAGAGTTACATGCAAAAAATGACTGGTGTGGAATTAGACTCTCCAGGCTCAGGAACTAGATTTGTAAGATGAAAGTGGTCATTACTTAAGATCTAATTTTAAAGTCTCTCTCCTCCTCCCCAACACATGTACTGCTTTTCCAGATTTGAAAATCAATTTAAAGATTGCTCAGAAAGAGGCAGATATTAGTAACAGTGAACTCATTTATACTGAATTGGACTTATCACACGAACTACTGACAATTTTTCAATCTTTAATTGTGAGGATTCGATACATCTTTTTATGGATCCTGTCCAATGTGCTTTTACATTTCTCAATGAACGGTGTTTATCTGACTTATTTATTAATTACTTACTAATTACAAGTGTCCCTCAGGTCTGACTCATTTTTGATGAAGGAATGAGGAGACAGACACACTCATAAGACATATAAAGAGAAACAAAAGTGTTTCTGTGGGCTAGGCCACTGATTCCCAACCTGTGGTCCGCGGACCCTGGGGGTCCGCGACAGTATTGTAGGGGGTTTGACAGAAAGCTTAGGAAAGGAAAGGGAAAGAAAAGTAAGGATTGGGCCCACCATGGGACTGGGACTTTCCGCCAGGTGGTTCTCACGCAAGACTCACCATTTGCGGCTGCACGCATGCTGCCTTCCTGCCACCAGCTATGCTGCTGTTTATGCTCCAGACCTCTACCCCTCCAAGTCCTGCGGTGGGCCCGATCCTTACTTTTCTTTCCTTTTCTTTTTTTTCCTCCCTCAGGGACCTGTGTCCAGGCAAGGGGGGAGTGCCAGGGCAGGAGCTGCCTTTGGCCATAAGAGACACCTTGCTGTATCCTCCATGGATGGGCAGGGGACGGAAGGGATCGGACTGAAGAAGCGGGGTAGGCCAAGGAATGTGCTGGGTGCCATTTCCTGCTGCTCCCCTTGGGGTGGGGGGAGGTCTGTAAAACTTAACAGCTTGAAAAGGGGTATGTATGCTTGACAAGGTTGGGAACCACTGCAATAGGCAATGAATGCTTAAACAGACATGGGGCACATCTGTGAATGAGCGCTTTGTCTTCCAAACTTATTCAAGAACTGAGATAGTCTCCTTGTCAGTGAACACATAATATGGATGGACAGTGTTATTTATTGAAAAATATTCTATGTTATCAGTCTCAGAATTGTTTCAATTGTAATTAAAAATGAAGGCATGCATAAAAAAGGGACCAGAATGTTAAAATATGTCAACTATGTGTTTTCAGGTACTTTCCAAAATGTAGAGCCTCCACCTCCACCCCATGGAACAGTATATTATCCAGTCATGACAGATCCCTATGGCCAGCCACCACTACCGGGGTTTGATGCTTGCGTCTCTTTAGTACCTGCCTATCATTATGTTAGCCCTTGGCATCCAGTAAATCCATCATATGGTAACTCCTCACGGATTCATAATTCTGTAAATCCTGGACAGTTGCATCAAGTCAGCTATGTTACCACACCTAATCCGGTGTCACATTATGTACCTCAAAGTATGTAAGGCCAAGTGATGTAAACTCACTTCTTGCACTAAAATTTTCCTGTTTTCTCTGTTAGTATTGTTTTTGTAGTGAGTGGTATGCTGTTTAGTGTGTTTCATTTACATGTTTCTATTTCAGTTTATAGTAAAGGTAAAATCTTGAGTATTGTTTTAGTAGAGAATATCGGAAAGTAAAGAACACAACGTTTAAATTCAGCTATCTAATATATAACAATCTGTATATATTGGAATAAAAGACAAATTGCATTACCACATCCATCCATCAATGATAATGATGTATGGAGAGGTTACAAGATCACTGTTACATCATTATCCTGTGCAAGACTAACTATTGTCTTACATATTATGCCAGTTTGTGTGTAATGGTAACATACTTGATTACTTAAGCAGGAGAAAGGTTGGGTCCCAGTCCATTTGAGGAAAGTTATTACTGTTAAAATAGGCTGCTTTTTCTCAGATTTCCTGGGGGAGGGGGAAGTATGTCAGGTATCTTCTCCAATGGTAACTACTTATTTGTAATAGTTTTTTCTCTGTTTAATTTTGTTTGGTATAATCTTGAAGTGTTAGAAGGTGGGAGTCCTTGGCACTGGCATATTCTGCTGTACACAGCTGTATTTATGAGAGGGGCTTGGTTGTGAAAGTCACCCTGCACAAATGGTGGTAGAAGTGGTGTTTGACTTGCACTAAATAAACAAAAAAAGCATCTAACCTATGAAAATGAGTCCTCTTTTCTGACCAAAGCCCCACCTTAATATCCCTGCAAAGAAGATTGATAGAAGAGGCTTGAGCTAAATTCACATAGGGTTTTTTTTATGAGACATAGGAGACAATTGGACTGAATGTATTCCCCAAAATGCTTACTTGGAGTCAGTGCAATGTGGATAACATCAAGCAGAAATGTATTCTTCTGTTCAAAAGCTAGTGATGTAGAAAACTTTGAGTGCTTTTCAGACCGTAGTCCAATGAGGCATTGCTGCATACACTGATACTTTTTTTTTTCTTGTCCTACTCACTGAAGACTGTTATGCACATGCTCTCTTACACTTGTTCCATTTGGTGGTGTCTTAAGCCCACAAAGCTTTTCATCACCTGTGTGGGGAAGACGCCAATTAACCCACCTGGTTGCACCTGGACAGTAAACAAAAGCTTAATTTAAAATGAAGCCCAGATGGGGAAGAGCTGAGTGGTGCTGTAAAGAGAAGCAGTCTGAAGGAGAAAAGGAAGAACTCTGCAGTCTCTTGGTAATGAGAAGGGAAACTCTTCCAGGAATAAGAGAGCTCTCTTTGGGCGTCTTCCTTACCATGTAGGAGCTATCTGAAAGACACAGGTTTGGAGCAAGCTCCTGTGGCTGATCTTGATACGACAGGAATAGGACCTCTAAGGAGAAACCCTGGGTGATGCTGCTCATTACAAAGAGCCTAGATCAGGGTAGCAGAAAAGCTGTTGAGGTTAGGCTAATGGTAAGCCCTGCTCCAGAGAGGTATGGCAAGGTGTCTGTCAGAGCAGACCTTGTAATATTTTTTAAAGGCACTTGAACTCAGTGTAATGGGAGGGCTTTTGTTCCCTGACTAGCCCTTTGGAAAATGGTATTAAGCTGCCTGATTTAAAGGGATAAGGACAACATAATGCCCAGGAATAAGGATGTGAGCATGATGGGGCAAAGAGTTGGGATCAAGGATCAGATGTAAGTTCAATCTGTTCATCCAGAAGATGTGGAAAAAAATCATGACTTAGTGAGAGAGCTGAGTAGCAAGAAGAGGCAGGCCACTCAGAGCAAGTGTTAGTGGGAAGCAGCTAGAGAGGAGTCCGGTGGAGCTATAAAAGAATAGAATCACCATATTTGTGCCTTTGGGAAGGTGACTTTCCATGATTGTGTTGAGGTTTTGGTTTTGACATGGCCTTGATTTTTAGGAGGTGGTATTTCCATACAGACAAGAAAAATATAGGGGTTTTTAATTTTAAAAATGGACTTGCATTTCTCATTTTAAACTTATACACACTATTAATATCTGTTTCCTGCCTGGATGTGCCATCAACTTTGAAATTTTATACTGTTTCTGCTGGTGCATCTTTTTTTCTAAAGATTTGAGTGTGCAGTGATTATTGATGGGCTGATGTAATTTGACATCACAACTTCAATAAATGCTACCTAGGTTATGTCCCCTTGGGAAAATATCCATTATGGTTGACCTATGTAAAATTCTCTGGAAAGTAATTTTCCTTGAGACTGGTGAAGAGGAAGCATGCTTTCCACCATTAGAGATTTTTAAACTGCCCTTAATTTCTTTTACTCTGAATTTAGCTGCTGGTAATTGAAGGCTAGTAATTGCTACAAGTCGGCTTCCCGCCAATAGAGCATGCTGCTGATTCCTATTTGGACAAAGAACCTTAACTTTTTTTACTTGGGTTAATTTTTGCGATGTTATCCCCTTCCTTCCTCACCCACAGCCTGATCCACCCACCTCATTGCCAGAGAGTACTGTACAAACAATGAAAATTGCACTTTGAAAAAGTCAGTCAAATTCTATAAAGATAGTCATGATCAGTGTTCTCTCTAATTTTTTCCAATCATGTGCGGAATAAACTTTGTATATTAAGGCATGTGCAGATGTGCACCACCAGTAGCAGCATGTGCTGCTGGCTGTGGGTGCTCTCATAATCAGCTGCCTGGCATCTGAATCTCTCCTGGGTAGCTGTACAAGTTCTCAGGTTACAGGGAACACTGATCATGGCATAAGTAGATATTAGAAAAATTGGCCTAGGATTTAATTCAGTATGTGCAAAGTTCAGAGTTTATGGTTAAACTAGATGCATGTTAATTCTGTGTTAAAAAAATATTTCAAAACTTCTAGGTCTCCTCTTAGTGGGTAGGAGGCTCTAACTAAGCCTTACCAGTTTATAATGGTAAAGAGACTTGATTTGAGCTTTTTTAAGCGATGAGACTTTAAAATAATGGGGTAATGGTTGTCTCTTACTTGGTTTAGAAAATAAACTTTAAATTCTAAACCCCCGAGGTCAGTGGATTTTAACTTTTACCTTTTTTGTTGATATATGAAAAACTTCAGAAGAATATAATTACTCACTCTTAACAGCTATAAACTCACTTCAGTGCCTCTGCAACATCTTGCTTAGATTATAGGATTATTATGTTTGGAAAAGAAAGATTTATTGTGGTATCTTTTTATGGCTGTTTTGATAGGATCTAAATCTCAACTCATCTTTATCAGCTCTATCGCTAAAGAGAGTAGGTAGTGTCAATTCCATCTGTGCTCAACTTATCCAGTCTTTGGACTGAAGCCCTGGAAGTAGCTACTTAGCTACAAGAAATCATGCCAATACGTCTCTCTCAAATCTTTGCTAGCTCAGAACAGTAAGATGGCATCACAAACAGGCATGGCTATGGCTTGCCATCTCTCTCTCATTTTGCTGTACTCAAATTTGAGCCAGTGACAGTGCAGGCTTGTTGGTTGAGCTCTCTAACAGCACTTAGTAAATTTGGACATGCAGTCTTCATTCCCACGAATTTTAATGGGATTCAAGTGTTCAAATCCCCTGCCCGCTTTGAAAACCAACTGGTGGAATCTTATGTGACAATGACACCCAATTTGAAATCTAGTCCATCACTTTTCATACATAAATTATATTCCTGTTTACCAAACACTAGATGGCAGCATGTATCTTTTGGCATGCAGCTTTTCCCTTTTTTTTCCCATACCAGCTTGCTTGTTTCCAAGAGCATGTTGAGTCTTTTTTAATATTACACATGCACTATCTCTCTTCTGCCTGCCTTCTCCCCATAGGAAAGGAGAAGGGGGAGAACTTGCCTCTACACAAAACACTCCCCCTTGGAAGAGCTTTTTAGTGGCTTATGCTTTTGAGTCATGTGTGACCGACTTGCTGTCAAGTGCATTTTTAACCTGCCTGTCTTGTACATTAAAATGTTTGTATCACAGAGACCTCAAAGCTTTTCCATGTCAGACAGCAACCTGGTCCACCACAGACACCATCTATTGCAGCCAAAGGCTGAATGGGACTCCTTGGAGCCACTCAACTCTTCCTGTTAATGGTCATTGTTGAGTGGAATGTGGAAATCTGTTACTTTGCCTTGTATAATGGGGGGTCTCCGTGACCACCTTGCACAATCAGTGAGGACTGAATCTGGTACTTTAAGCACAAGCTTTTTTCACTAAAAAGGAGATAAAGGAGTAACTGTTTACCTGATCACAGTAATAAGCTTTTATTGTCTCTCTAGAGCAGTGGTTAGTAGGGGATTGAAACATCCAGCATGTTATAGATGAAAGGATGTACAGCTTACTTGCCTATGTAGTTATAGGCAGAGGGGTGATAGAAATGTAGCCGTGTTAGTCTGGGGTAGTTGAAGCAAAATGCAGGACAATGTAGCACTTTAAAGACTAACAAGATGGTTTATTAGATGATGAGCTTTCGTGGGCCAGACCCACTTCCTCAGATCAAATAGTGGAAGAAAGTAGTCACAACCATATATACCAAAGGATACAATTTAAAAAAATGAACAAATATGAAAAGGACAAATCACATTGCAGAACAGAAGGGGGATGCGGGGGGGTGGGAAGGGGGAGGAAGGAAGGTAAGTGTCTGTGAATTGCTGATATTAAAGGTAGGGAGAGTGGGATGTTTGTGAGTTAATGGTATTACAGGTGATAATTGGGGAAACTGTCTTGGTAATGGGTGAGAAAGTTCAAAGACTTGTTAAGTCCTTGTTGGTAAGTGTCGAATTTTAACATGAATGACAGTTCAGAGGATTCCCTTTCAAGTGCAGATGTAAAAGGTCTTTGTAGCAGAATGCAGGTGGCTAAGTCATTTAGAGAGTGTCCTTTCTGGTTAAAGTGGCAAGAAACTGTTTTCTCTTTGTGATCTTGTCTGATATCTGTTTTGTGGGCATTAATCCTTTGGCGAAGTGTCTGAGATGTTTGTCCAATGTACATAGCAGACGGACACTTTCGGCACATGATAGCGTAGATTATATTTCTGGATGCGCAGGAATATGTGTTCTTGATCTTATAACTCACTTGGTTAGGTCCAATAATGGTATCAGCAGAATGAATATGTGGACAAAGCTGGCAACGGGGTTTGTTGCAAGGGAAGGTACCAGGGTTGGTATTAGTGTGGTATGTCCTGTGGTGGTTGGTAAGAATCATCTTGAGGTTAGGTGGTTGTCTATAGGAGACTATGGGTCTGTCTCCCAGAGCCTCTTTGAGTATGGTATCCTGTTCCAATATAGGCTGTAGTTTATTGATAATGTGTTGGACAGGTTTAAGTTGGGGGTTGTAGGTGATGACAAGTGGTGTTCTATTGTTGGTTTTCTTGGGTCTGTCTTGAAGTAGATGGTTTCTAGGTATTCGTCTGGCTCTTTCAATTTGCTTTTTTGTTTCTCTGGGTGGGTAGTTGAGATTTATAAATGCTTGGTAGAGATCCTGAAGCTTCTGGTCTCTGTCAGTGGGGTTAGAGCAGATGCGGTTGTATCGAAGGGCTTGGCTATAGACGATGGATCGTGTGGTGTGTTCTGGATGGGAGCTGGATGCATGTAGGTAACTGTATGAGTCAGTGGGTTTTCTGTAGAGAGTGGTGTCTAATTTTCCATTGTTGATTTGTACGGTGGTGTCCAGGAAGTGGATCTCTCGTGTAGAATGGTCCAGGCTGAGGTTGATGGTGGGGTGTAGGTTGTTGAAATCTCTGTGGAATATCTCCAGTGTTTCTTGGCCATGTGTCCAGATCATAAAGATGTCATCGATGTACCGTAGGTAGAGGAGGGGTGAAAGGGGACGGGAGTTGAGGAAACGTTGTTCTAGGTCAGCCATAAAGATGTTAGCATACTGTGGGGCCATGCGTGTACCCATGGCTGTGCCGCTGATCTGGAGGTATAAGTTGTTCTCAAACTGGAAATAATTGTGGGTGAGAACAAAGTTACATAGGTCTGCTATCAGGTTGGCAGTAGTGTCCTCTGGGATAGTGTTTCTAATTGCTTGTAATCCGTCTTCATGTGGGATGTTGGTATATAGAGCTTCTACATCCATGGTGGCAAGGATGGTATTATTGGGGAGGTTATCGATAGGCAGAGGGGGTTTTCATGCAAGTGTAGTTCAAGGTTAGGCATGAAAATAACTTTAACTCTTCTCTGGTCTGCTGATGGGGTGGAGGGGAGAGGAGCAAATGGGGCAGCTGCCCCAGGGCCCAGCAATTCAAAAGGCCCTGGGACGGGAGCACTGGGCAGTGTGTTCCTGGGCAGTTCCAAAGGCTGCCTGGGAGAGGAGGGTGTGGTGTGTTCCAGGCAGTGCTGAGGGCTTTAGGAGTGTTCTGCAATCACTGATAATAGCTCAATTCCTGTTGCAATCCTTGCACATCCCTGAACATCCATAACATTCCACACTGTTAGAGATCCACATCTTTTAGAAGTCTTTCAATTTTAAACTCATCCATTATTAAAGATAATTATCATAAATACTGCAAGAAATCAACCCCCTGTGTGATTCTGTGCCTGTGACATTAGACTTCACTGTTACTAAAGATAAGGCTACAGCCCTGTTTCCTCCTTCCCCTCCTCCCTTGCTGCCTAGGAGCACTAAACCATAGGTCCTGCATTAAGCAGCTTTTCCAGATCAGTTTTTTTTTGCTCAGTGCCATGCCTTCATTTTAATTTTTTCTATCCTCATCAGTATCTCCCTGAATGTGATACAGTCCTTTCATGTTATGTTATAGACATGTGCTCCAACCAAAATCTTTGATTCAGATACTGAAGGATGTTCAAATTAGAAATCCAAATCTTTTTCCAAGTGGGTCCGTCCATCCTTAACAGAAGGAGATGATAATCTTGGATGTAGATTTTGATTGGTGTGAAATCTGGGCTTGAATTTTTTTGCAACTTGGAGTGTCAGTAATTATCTGAGCCTGACCAGTTCAGGGGTGAGGTTCTGCACGTATTGAAGTCAGATTTGTCACTAACTTTTAGTGCCCGGACTCACCCTGGCATACCAATGTATGTAGCCCTCGTTGCATGTACTAAGGCAGTGTTTCTCAAACTGTGCTCTGCGGAGCCCCAGGGCTCCACAAGACATCTCCAGGGGCTCCACGAGGTTGACAAACTGGAAACATCGATAGGTACAACACATACAATCAGTGGACCGCTGGGGCACCGCATAAATTTTTACACATGTAAAGGGCCCTAGAGCCCAAAAAGCTTGAGAACCGCTGTATTAAGGCAAAAGAGCTGTCACAACGATCAGATGTTCATTAGTTTAGGTGCTCAACTTGTGAACCTAAGCACATGCATACACCTCCATAGTATTGCAGCCATTGAGTTCTCCCAACAGCAGTAAACCAGAGCTGGATGAAGTTTGGTGTGTGTAGAGACTTCAAAAAAGTTCTTCTGAACATGGTAAAGATATACAAATTCATTGCTGTTCATAAATATTTATTATCAATAGTCAGCTGGAAATGTTACATCTGAAAAGGTAGAAACACCTTGAATCTCAATAGACATACATTTTTGGAAAAAAGTTAAATGCTTTTTAATTTTTTCAGTTTACAATTAAGCTAAAAATACACATAAAATAATTTCATTTATGTACATCACTTCTCCCTTTTTACATGTGTTTGGGAATGATACAGAGTTTGCACTGCTGACAGAAAATAGATAAGTATGTAAAATTAACAGGGTTTTTTTTCCCCTTAAAGAGGCGGCTATTTAATGGCCAAATCCTGAGCCCTCATGTAGTTTTTGTGCAAGCAAAATTCCCACTTAAGGGCAACAAGATTTTGACCAAAAATTACAAAACCAAAATTCCCTAGCTATTGTTTTTCATCCTATGGAGTAACATGCCATCAAAATACGTTTAGATTCCAAACTGTTTCTATGATTAAACTCTCAGAAGATGCAATTGAAAGATAAAGTATTTGCAAAAAAGTTATTTGGCAAAATAAGCCCATTCCACTTGCCATGTAGGAAAATAGAATACTTAAATTTCCTTTACCATCCTTTCCCCTTCAACAGATCAGCAGTCTATAGTTCCCAGACTATATTGTATAAAGTTGCTTTTAAATGAAACTTCACAATACTCCCAAGTAGCTACACTAAAACACATCAAACCTCGAAAACAAAACTTTTAATAGTCAAAAAGGCATCTCCTCTGAATTTTGTTGGCTAAAGATATCACAGTGTTTTGTTAGCTAATTGTGCTAGAAGGAAGGGTGTCTGATCACCATTGGGCATGCGCAAGAACGCAACCACATCATGGCGGTCTGTTTATGCCACCAGTGTGAAGTAAAAAATGAACAGTGATGAAGTGGTATTCAGAAGTGGTCTCTGAAGACAGTTGGAGGTGCTGTTTTTCACAGTTGCTGAACTGCTTATAATGAATTGATCTCTGGAAGGTTTTTCTGGAAATCACTTTTAAGGTGGTTTCTAACAAGTGAGTTCATGTTCTTTCCCTCTTTTCTGCTTCATGCACCTTTAAAAATCAAATGAAGATTGATGGTCCTTCATGCTCCAGAAAAACTAAAGTTCTGAAGATAAGAATCCAGCTCTTCTACCACATTTCAAACACCTCTTTAGATAAAAGACATTCATTTTAAAGATAAGCTTTCTGCATCATGATTTGTCTTAGAACATTAGTAATTCCTATGGAGAAACACACAATAAAAGACAAATTGATTTTAACCTTGTACAAATGTTACTGTCTAAAGCAAGCAAAAGAGTCTCAAGCTAATTTATACAGAAAAGGGAATAATATAGCCAGACAATACAATATAAAAAGAGGATAAAATGCTTGTTTGAATGGTTAGCACTGTCAAAAAATGATTTAGTTATGGGAATGATTTATAGTAATTGGGTTTCACTTAACATGTTTAGTAAGCTACAGACTATTTTGGTAACACTTTATTTTAGAAGTTCCATCATTGAATGTGTTTGTTATTCACTGTAGACTCTCTGATTCTAATTAATTTCTCCATTATGCATTGAGAGTCACAGGTGCTTCCCTGTGGGTGACTTTTTCAACATGCCAGCTACACTTGTGCTACTTCCTGCAATGATAAAAGTCTACAATATATTGGTGAGAGTTGATGTCCATTGAAACCCATTCTTGTGATGAGGGGCAGGAGTTGATTATACCTTGTCTGTTTCAAAATTGGTTAAATGCATTTTTTTTGTTAGTAATTCTAGGGTTTTAAAAATGATTCAAACTTGATTTGCTATGGTTCTATCTAAACCTGTCTGTCTAATTTTTAAATGTAACATGGCAGTGGACTAGGGGAAACCCTAATGTATTTATTTGGAAATAGCTATGGAAACTGCACAGTTTCATCTGAAAATGTACACTTGTTGCAATGTTAATATTCTAGGGATTAGCTGCCATTTTGGCACTGAAAACAAATTCACCAACATTCAACTTTTCCAGCTAATGCACAATGTGTTTCATTATTCTTCTGTATTGTAGTAGAGATGTAAAATCATCATTAAAAAGTTAAATGGTTAAACTTTACATTTTACCAGTTAATGGGGATCCTGTGGTCCCCACACACGCACACACTCTTCTAGCCCAGCCGGGCCACCAATTAACCAGTTACCCCAGTAAGCATGCAGGTAAGGCTGATGCCTACTGGATAACTGGTTAAACCTTTACATCTCTAGATTCTAGTCTTGGACCAGAAAAGTGAGAATTGCTTTTTATGCCTTTTTAGAATTTACAAAGCATTGCAATGGAAGTATTAGTAAGCTCATGAAGATAGCTGGTTCTTACACAAGTTTCCAGCTCAGTTTAACACCCTAGGAAGAATTCAGATGCTTATCCAAACTAAACCCGAATTCAAAATCTTTTGTTTGCCCTGTTTGCTTCCCCATAAGAATTCTTATCATGATCCCAGTGCAAATTGGTGTGAAGGGCCGAATCTTGCATCCGATCTGCTCATTCCATGTACTCGAATGCTAAATTGTATTGTTCAGCCACTAGGTGATACTATTTGTAAAATGCCTTATTTAAAGTCAACCTTAGCTATACCTGGCAGAGCATTAAAAGATCTTTTAATGAACACATCTGGTGTGTGTATATATAACCAAGCTTGTCCATATCTGATAGAGGAATATGACATGGTGGTAGAAACTAAGATTAGAAAAAACGAGGAATCCTGTGACACCTGAAAGATTAACAAATTTGATACATCTCATGAAGTGGTCTTCTGCCCACAAAAGCTTATGCTTTAATACATTTGTTATTCTGTAAGGTGCCAGAGAACTCCTTGCTGTTTTTGCTGAAACAGACTAACATGGCTACCCCTCTGAAACTTAAGATCAGAAAGGGTATGTCCACACAGCAGAGCTAAAGTTGAATTGAGCTACACAACTTCAGCTACATCAATTTATAGTTTAATTCAAAATAGCTTAATATGGCATTTGGCGCTGTCTACACAGCAGAAAGTCAAAGGAAGAGCACTCTTTCTTTGACTTTCCTTACTCCTCGTGAAATGAGGGTTACATGAGTTGGAGTAAGAAGTCCTCCTGCTCAACATTATTTCAAAATAAAGGCTTGTACTGTAGACGTGCACTGTTATTTCAGAATAATGTTGATTATTCCAAAATAGCACTGCTGTGTGGATGTACCCAAAGAGAAGAAAACCAAACTAACAAATGGGTGTCATGAGCATGCCAATTTCTAGTGCCAAAGATCATCAGCTTTAACAAACATTCACAATAGACAGCCTGGAAACAATATTTTGCAAGATTTCACATTAATAGCAAACTTCATAAAGAAATTGGAGATATACAGATATCTGTAATATATTCTTAGGGAATCAAGCAGAGCATATTTTTAAATCATTTGACTTTAGTGAAGACAGTCACAGAGATGACTATGAAAGGATTCTGGCTATCTTTGTGTACTTTATACACAAGAGAAATATGGTTTATGAAAGAGTATTTTCACCAGAGAATTCAAGAACCAGAGGGAAATGTTGAATATTTTATAAGAGCACTGCATACTTTGGCTGAAAACTGATTCTGGGAATGCAAAATGGGAATATATTGGAGACAAGCTGGTTATCGGATTAACAGATAAAAATGTTTCAATTAAAGCTACAGTTGAAGATAGATTCAATCCTAACCACAGCTGTGCAGATAGCAAAGCAGTTGGAATTCATCAAACAATGGAACAAACTACAGCAGTAATCTGAGAAACCTGAAAATAGCTCAAACTGTAAACAGATACTGGAGAGTTAAGTACCATAAAAACCCTGAGGAAAGGAGAGGGAACACCCAAACTAAGCAGGAGAAAGACCAGTCAACATGCAAAAGATGACGAACAAGTCATATCCCAAAAATTGGTACATGTCAAGGCAGAGGCACATGGTGTAATAAATGCATGAGATATGAACATTTTTGCAGCTGTTTTCACCAAAGCAACAAGAAGTGGATTCATATTAGACTATCAAGACCCATTGTTTCTGGGATTTGTCATTTGTGCTGTTGCAGAGCCTGCCTGGAGAATGAAATTGAATATCCATAGCAAAAAATTGACCCCCATTCTGTATGAATGCTGGATAACAAAGCTTGTAGTGTATATAGAAATAATATACTTGAAAGATGTGTTAGTGCTGTTGAGATATTGAAGTGCACTTTTGCTCACTTCAGTATTCCAAAACTAGTGACAGACCACAGAATTTTATTCCAAATTTAAATATGATATTGATCATATTAATAACAAGTCCCATTACCTGCAAGAGGCTGAGAGAGTTGTACAGGCAGCCAAGAAAATACTGCTGCAGGAAGATCCATTCCTTGCTCTTCTGAGTTAGAGATCTACAACAATAGCAGCTACCAGATGTAGTCCATTGCAAGTCCTGATGGGAAGACAACTCAGAACAACTCTTCCAACTTTGGAAAGGAATTGGTCTCCAAAGTGGTCAGGCATGAAGTAGCCAAATCAGATAAATAGACTGAAAGAACTTAAGAACATATTTACTACAGACATCTCTGAGAACTGCTGGGTCTAAAGCCTGGTGATGCTGTTTGTCTAATTGGATGGAAAATGGGGATAGACCACTCAAGCTGTCCAATTATATGTGATCAAGACCAACAATGATGAGAGTGACAAAAACTGATGCCATCTATAACTCATTCCTCAGAATGAGCTGTCAACAAAACAAACTCCACAAATGGCAGAACAAGAACATGATGACTCAGGGATTGTGGACTGACCACCAACAGTTGTTGCAGCTAATGAATAGCCAGAAGACCAAATAATTTCATGTTCGGGTCATGTAATTAGAAAACCAGTTCAATTCAGAGACATTTATGTAACACTGATATGTACTGGACTTGAGTGATAGTGTAAATAGTATGCAAATAAAACTTACAGGGGCAGCCTAAGGGAATACTAACCTGTATTATACTAGAAAAACTTTTTTAAAAAGAATTGTTGGCACAATCCACTTCTTCAGATGAATGGAGGTATTAAAGGTCTAGTTTCTAAATAAATAGGGGAGGGGGGGAGAAGAGGGAAAGAAGGGGGAAAGGGTGAGAAAATAGTAAATTAAAGAGTCCATGCTACATAAACTGATAGAGAATGTACTAATTGTTCTTAAGTATCCATTGTTTCATTTTTTATGTCATTAGGATGCGGAGTATTTACAAGTTTGATTCCTATAACAGGTATAAATAAAGACAGTGGCCTAATGTACCCAAGCAAGGTACTAAATTGTTCTTACTTACCCAAACAATGGGTACTTAAGAACAATTAGTACCTTCTCTATCAGTTTCATGTAGCATGGACACTCTAATTGACTATTTCTTTCCCTTTTTTTTTCTCTCTCTCCCTCTTCTCTGCCCCCTATCCCCTATTTTAGAAACTGGACCTTTAACTCCATTCATCTGAAGTGGGTTGTGCCCACAAAAGCTCATGATGCCCACTGCATGTTTTGTTAGTCTTGCAGCACCTTAAGACGATTAGTCACTAAGGTTTTTTTTTTTTTTTTTTTTTTTTCCAGTTACAGACTAACTCAGGTACCCCTCTGAAGCTGTATTATACTGTTTAGCCACTTGGTGGTACTGTGCAAACACCATATTTAAACTTAAAAAAACAACAAATGGTCTGAAGAAGTGGGCTGTGCCCACAAAAGCTCATGATACCATCTACGTGTTTTGTTAGTCTATAAAGTGCTACCAGACCAATTGTTTAAGTTTTACCATATTTAACAATATTTAAAGCTAGACTTTGCCCTACCTGCCATTAAAAGATCTTATAATAAACAAGTCTGATGTGTGTAACCAAGCTCTGTAGCTAGTCCATATGTGGTGTAGGAACATTTGAGTCTGCACTCAAATTAAAATCCTATTGGAGTAAATTAGAACTTTTTCCTTAGGTCCAAATTCTGCAGTCCTTACTAAACTGAAAGGAAATAAAAATAGTCTTACATAAGCTATGTCCATGCAAATCCATGGCAACATTTGGGAGTGGTGAAGGAAGAAAAAGCTTTAGTTCAGTGTAATGTATGTTATACCAACACAATAGGAAACATTACCAGTAGGATAGGACCTGATTCTTTTTCCATTGAAATAAATTGGTTTGCCATTGTCTTCACAAGGATAAAGATGGAACTTCACTCAGAAGTCCTGTGAGAGTTGCCTGT